CACTGAAATACCACCACATACCTATTTGGAATAACTAAGTCAGAAAGATTGGCCATATTTATTTTTCCTTAAATTTTTATTAGTGAAACACCATGAGGTACAGTTGTAGACTTACAAATTTTTGTGCTTGGGTTTCAGTTATACAATGATCGAATACCATCCCTCCACCAGTGCCCATTCTCCATCACCACCAGTCCCAGTATCCCTCCCACCCTCTTTCCCTCCATCCCACCCTACCACTGTGGCAGGGCATTCCCTTGTGTTATCTCTCTCCTTTTGAGTGCTGTGGTTTGTAAAAGAGACATTGAGTGGCAATCTTGTTCGGACTATAGTCTACTCTCATCACGCATTTCCCATCCTGAGAGGAACCTCCCAACCCCTTTTATTTGGTGCTACCTTCTCTATCTGAGCTGCCTTTTCCCCTAGCGTGTGCAGCTGTCCTCAAAGCTATGGAGTAATCCTCCTGGTACTTATAGATTGGCCATATTAACGGATGTCATAGCTATGCAACATTCCAGTTCTAACACAACTGGTGGAAATATAAAATGGTATAACTTTGGAAAAGCAGTTTGGCATATTTTCTGTGTTAGGGGCACATGGAGATATCTCAGTGATAGGACACCTCCTTGGCAAGTATTAAGGCAATAGAACAGTGAGTTTCAATCCTGGTACTGCTCCTGGTGCCATCCTAACAACGGGGGCAGGTCACTGGAGAAATAAGAGATAAAGGGAAGGAAAAGACAAAGGGGGACACTACCTTCTTTTCCCCCCTTTTTTTGTCACACTTGGTGATGCACAAGAGTTTCTTCTGGCTCATGCACTCAGGAATTACTCCTGGCATTGCTCTGGGGACCATATGGGATGCTGGGAATCGAACCCTGGTCAACCAAGCGCAAGGCAAACGCCCTACCTGCTGTGCTATTGCTTCAGCCTGACACTACCTTTCTATATGAATTATCTGTTCCTCTGAATAGTTGCCAAAGTATTACCAAGCAAAAGAAAAGTAACTCTAGTGAAAAAAAATTTTCTAACACATTTCTTTGTAGTGGCCAGAAACATAAACTAGTGGTCGGCAAGATCAACAATCTGGTGTATGTGCTTTGCATAAAGAACCCCAATCTGGATTTGATCTTCAGCACCACATAGTCTGTCAGCATTACCAGTGTGGCCAGTCTATTCTCCTTCCCCAAATTATATTAAATTGGCCACAAGAAAAATGATCCTTGCCTACATGCAGGGAGATTAACTTCACTTGTCCGCTATATTTTGCCATCGGCATAGGCATTGTAGCTACTTGCTAGCTAGCCTGGATGTAAGACTGGCATGGTTATTTAATATCAATTCCTGATATTTAGGGCAGCAATAGAAAGAGACAGTGAAAAGATTTGGGATTGGGATTTGGGTTTTAAATCTGGAGTAAGAATTAAACGACTCGCAGTGACGAGACACGAGGGGCCTCATGGAATGGGAGTCGAGCCAGCCCCTTCCTCCCCGTCCCAACAAGACCCTGGGTCGCTGTCCACGAACAGCCTCTCTGGCTCCTGATCAAGCTGCTTAACGGCCATGATTCAAGAGACTCAGGAACAAATCTCGAAACCCAGCAGGTTTTGGCAGAAATCCCTCCAGATTTAGTTGTTAAAATTTCGGAATTTCAAAATCTCGCGGCCACTACTGCAGCCACGTGACATAATGTTATTCATAACCAGCAATATTAAACAAATTGTCTACTGTTGCCTTTCCAGCAGATCTGAGTGTTGGGGTAAAAATCCCAAATAATATGGTGGGTCTGGTGTCAAAATATTGAATGTAATCAAAGTAGAGAGAGAGTAATGTGGAAATCATCTGCCCCACAGGTAGGAGGAGGGTGTGGGATGGGGGTATACTGGGGTTTTTGGGGGTGAAGAATGGGCACTGGTGAAGGTATGGATATTTCATTTTATGACCGAGACTTAAACCCGAAAGATTTGTAAGTGCTCTCACGGTCATCCAATAAATAAAATTATAAAAAACGGAAAAAATAAGTAAGGTGGAGTTCATGCCTAATTCAATCAGCTAATCATCAGTGGCTGAATAAATAGTAGTACTCCTACATAAAAAAAAAAAAGAATTAAATGAAAAATAAAAAGTAAAAAAAAGAAACCCACATGGGGATTTCACTCAGTGATTGAGTGCATGCCTCGTGTGAAGCTAAGAGTTTCACAGAAAGTAACCAAGAAAAAGCAAGCAAGTCTTTTTTTATTAAACAGAAATCAGAAAGGTATTGATACATATTTTTCATAGTGATTTACAGAAACTCTAAACAATATCATCTGAACCATTTAAAGTAGTTGTGAACTTACTTTACACTGATACAGTGTGATTATTTTAAAAATGATACAGGCTGGGCTCAAGAGATAGTTCAGGCGATAAGGCCCCATCTGATCCCAAACATAGCATAAACCTTGGAATACCAAAGGGTGCAGCACTGAGCACTGTCAGGTGTGGCCAAAAACTTATACATGGCAAGATAAAAGTTATTAACTATAATAGCGTTTGGGTTTTTGGTTTTGTGGCCACATCTGACTATGCCCAGGGCCATTTCCAGCTGTGTGTTGCTCCTGGTGGTATTTGGGGGACCATGTGGTTCCAACTCAGGCCTCTCTGATGGACAGAACGTATTTCAATACTTTGAGCTATCTCCAAAGTTCCAGAAGTTTTCTAATCAGGATGTTCTGGATACAGTGGAATTTCCTAAAGTTGAACATACTAATCCGTTTCATGAAAATGATATTAGTATTACCCTGAAGTCTAGGATCTCTCTCATCTCCAAGTTTGATTTGGTTGTGCTTTCGTCAGAGACTAGTTAGAACTTCATATGCAGAAATACAAAAGCTAAACCAAAAAATCCAGTCTTTTGGGGCTGGAATGATTGCACAGTGTGTAGGGTTTTTGCCTTGCACGCAGCCGACCTGGGTTCGATTCCCAGCATCCCATATGGTCCCTTGAGCACCACCAGGAATAATTCCTGAGTGCAGAGCCAGGAGTAAATTCTGTGCATCGCCAGGTGTGACCCAAAAAGCCAAAAAAAAAAAACCCAGTCTTTTTCCTAGTGTCAATGTAAGTAACACCAAGGACTTTTAGTCTACCTTTTATTTTAGTCAATTCAAAAATTAAATTCTTTTCCCTCCATTTTGCTGTTGCATGACAGGATCATATCCAAACTTGGTAGTATTGCTCACTGTGGGGGTAGAAATATCACACTTTGGTTGCAGTTACTTCTTTTGTTTTGCTTTTGGGCCACACCAGGCTGTGCTCAGGGCTAACTCCTTGCTCTGTTCTCAGGGATCACTCCTGGCCGTGCTCTGGGTGCTATATGGGGTGCTCAGATAGAATCCCAGTCAACTGGTGCAAGGCATCTTGCTTGCTATGCTATCTCTCCAGCCCCCTGGTTGCAGTTCTCGTACATGTGCTTGCCTAGGGTTGCACTCATTAGTAGCGGTGCTCCCACACATTATGGTTGAGGTGCTCAGAGGGATCACTGTAGGTTGTTGTAGTGCTCACACACTTGCTCACTGGGGGATTGTGCTTCTGGTCATAGGTGTCGTCACATTTTTGGTGCATCGCTTACCTCAGAAGTCTCACCAGCTGTGATGCTTCCACACATCCAGCTCTGGAGACTGCATACTCCATGGCTTATTCAGGGAACCTCACACAGCAGAACCCCTAGACCCAGCTTGGTGCATTTGGGCAGCACCAAATTCTCCATCACGTGGTTGCAAGGCAGATGCTTTTCCCACTGAACCATCACTGGTCTCCCCTCACAGTACCTTTTAAATTGCTCTGCAAATATTCGATGCTGTTGTTTGACGTTGGACTTACTCGCAATACAAAGTCAGCTTTCTCTGTACAGATGCTCAACTAATTTCCATTATGCCGTATCCTGTGTATACCTCTGGAAATTACTTAGTGTAGCCTCTGATCATCCTAAACTTTAGGAATCCTGCACCACCACTGGGTAGAAAACACTTGTTCAGGAAGGTAAGGGTGATGGAAAATGAAGTGGAGCCAGTAAAATAGAATTCTGACCTTGGTTCCAGAGCGCCAAACCTGTAGTAAGGTTAGGGAATCCTCAAATTTAAGTCACCTTCGCTCTACATCTTCCAGATCTAGGTGTCTAGGAATCCAATATTGGGTTCCCAAAACCCTGTCACGCAAGGACACAAACTTCCTTCAAGCTGGGAGCCCTCCACCTTCTCCACAGCACCCCTCGCCCCCAACCCCCTGCACCCCGACCCCAGACCTCTCCCCGCCACATTTCTGGTTACAGCCAGCTTCAATTCGCATGATCTGTGCGCGGTGGTAAAGGACGAGTGACGGATGAATACACCTCCAGAAAGGAGCAGGTTCAGGGCGACGATAATCTTGCAGTTCAAGGGCCTTCGGAGACGTCGGAATTCTCCCCTTTCTCATCATTCAGAGAGGAATCGTCCCTCATTCCCTTCTTCTTAGGCTCGCCCAGCATTTCTTCTCCGTTTCCCACTTCCAAACTCCACTGGGAGACACGGAAAACAGGACAGAGACCGGGGTACAAAGAAGTTTCTTAAAACAGCGCCTATTCTTGGGTTCTTTCCCGGCGTCCCCTTTAAGGCGCCTGAACCACCTGGTTCTCCTTCGGCCACTGGCTGTCCTTCCTGCCCATCATTTTACCTTGCAGAATACTTCCTGTTCCTTCAACCCAACTTGCACACCTCCGCCCCACGGCCCTCCTCATTGGGCCGCCCCAAGCCCTGTTCCCGGCCAGGCTTTTCCCTCCGCCTCCTCCCGCCCCCCGGCCTAGCGCCCGGGCCGTTCCGGGCTCTGATTGGGCGTGACGGCACCCTCTCCGGAACCGGATTGGTCGGCTGGTGGGCGGGGGCGGGCGCGCCCGGCAGCCGGGGTAGGCTGTCCGCGAGCCGAGCGGCGGCCGCGGGAGGGGCGGGGAGGGGCGGGGGGAGGGGGGCTGGGAAAGTTGAGGCCGCGCTGCCGCCGCCGGGTCTCCGGCCTCGAGGGCTCGGGCTCGCAGCGGCGGCGGTGGCCGCGCCGAGAGGCGGCGGGGGCGGGGGGAGAGGAGGGCCCGGGCCCGCGCTCCCCCAGCCCCAGAGCGGCGGGCCGCGGGCGGATCGGGCCCCCCGGGGGGTCGGACACCCCTGCTGCAGCCGCCCGGGGCGGGGGGGATCATGACCCCGGCGGGGGTCGCCGCCACCGCCGCCGCCGCCGCGGCCGAGACCGCGCAGCCCGCGGGTGAGTGAGTGCGGGAGGGGGGCGGCTGACAGCCGGGGCTGGGGGCGGGGGCCGGGGCTGCGGGGGCGGCTCCGGGGGGCGGCTCCGGGCTCTGCTCCACCCACCCCGTCCTTTCTCCCCGCGGCTGCGCGCGGCGCGTCTCCGGATCGCGGGGGGGGGGGGGGGGGCGGGGGGGGGTCGTTCCCGGGCCGAGCCCGGCGGGGCGCGCAGCCTCCTGCCCCCGGGCGCCCGGGCCCCCCGCACGCACCCCCAGGGGCCACCCCCGGCGGGGGCCGAGCCCTTGCGGGGGCGCGCGCCCTGCCCGGCTCCCCAGGTGCGCGCGCGGCGGGTCGCGTCAAGGACGGGGCAGCCAGGTGCTGACCGGATGCCCGCTGCCCGCCTGCTGCCCCTTTTCCTGTCTCCTCCTCCGTTCTTTGCCTGGCATCGTCGATTGCCTCGGGACCCCGCTCGGCTTTGCAAACTCTCACCCTTGGGTCGCAGAGTTTCGACTGGCGGCTGTTGGGTTGCGTTAAGCCTTTTCTTTATTTCTCCCCCAGACCCCACTTCTGAATAGGAGGGCTACAGCGAGGGGTCAGCGAAGTCCCGAAAGCTAGCTCTGGTCTTCCTTAAGGGGGAAAAAAAACCCTTGACCTTGTTCCTTGTTCGTTGTTTTACCTTTTGACTTTGACGCTCCTTCCCCCTCTCCGCACCCCCGTGGTTACCCTTGTTGGTTGTTGGAATCTATTCGCTAAATCGAAAAATGTGAGACGCATCAACCTGCAGAAACAAGGCATCAGCTCTCAACTTTTGTTCTCCAGACCTTCCGCCCACCCCCACCCCCCTGGTTTATAGGCTTTGGAAACTGACTGTGTGGCTGACTTAAGTTTGCTTTCGAGAAGGCAATTGCTTACCTATTAAGGACAGATTTCTTGCACACACACACACACCCGTGAGTGACATGGATCCGTAGGCATATTTGAACATTTGCTCTTTATTAAAAACAGCAAGCCAACACACTTTAGCCTGCTTGTGGAAGGATCAACAGGCTGTCAGATTTACCCCACGGTAATGTCGCTTTGCTCTCATGCAGGCTACTCGTTTAATATCCAGTTGTATGGGATAATTTGTTTCCCTTTGTGAAGTGCTTGAAGGCGTTTGTTACAAAATAACCCCCAATGATCCTCGGAATGGTACAACGTCTTCATTTCAACAAGAATGATATTCAACCTCATCTTCTGCTCAAATCAGAGCAATATAACTTCTGTACGTGTAGTATTAGATTCCGTTTAAAAGAGAAGTTTTGGGGCCTGGAGAGATAGTCCAGCGAATAAGGCTTTTGCCTTGCACGTAGCAACCCCGGGTTCAGTCCCTAACACCCTGTTCCCTCCGAGCACCTGAGTAGTGATTTAGTAGTGATTCCTGAGTGCAGAGCCAGAAGTAAGCCCTGAGCACAGCTGGATGTGCCCCCCTTCACCCCCACTCAAAATTTGTAAAATCTAGACTGTGATGCAGCCTAAAATATGCCTTAGTATAAAAAGACTTTATTACAGACGTCTAAAGGAAAAGTAGGAGGGAAATAATTACTCTCTAGGTTAGTTGTTTTTGAGACATTCTGGAAATGAAATTCTGAAGTTACGGAATATGCAGTGGGGGGAGGGCTGGTCATGTAAGAGAACTTAAGGGGCTCTTCAGAGCTTAGCCTTATCAAGGGGAGAAGTTTCTGTAGGTAACCAGCAACTCAAAATTAATTGCTATAAGCAGGAACTTAGAGCAGGCTTTTTGCTTTGCTTTTTTGTTTGTTTGTATTTGTGGCCATAACAACCTGTGCAGGACTTACTCTTAGCTTACTGATCAGGGATCATTCCTGATGGGCTTGGGGATCCCGGTTGGCTGCATGCAAGCCAAGTGACCCACCATCTGTACCATGGTTCCTGCCCCTCAAACTTGGTTCTTAACCACCTTTGTCTTGCCTTGTCTTTTAATACCCCCCCCCCCCCAAGTGTTTCTCAGTCAGAACTGTACTTTTGTTTCACTTTATCTGTTGTTGTTTGGGGGCCTTTTGCTTCACTTCTAACACTGCTCCGGCTACTTCTAGTTCTGTGCTGGGGAGTTGTATCCAGCAATGTTTGGGGGTCCATGCAGTTCTAGGATTGAAACTGGGCATGCCTCATGTTTAGCATGGGCTCCAGCCCTTTGAGCTGCTTTGTTGGGTCTTTCTGCCCAGCTTTCAGGGTAAGAAGCACTGAGTGCAGAGCAATATCCAAACTAGTGTTGTGGAGTCCTAGACAGTACAGGGAATAAGGCCCTGAGCTTGCTTCTGGCCAGATGAAGTTCTGAGTACTGCCTGGAGTGGCCCAAATCACCTCCTCAAAACAAAAAAGTTAGACTCGTGTTCCAGGCTCTTCTAAATCAAACCTTCACTTCTGTGTTCAGCTTTTCCAGTTGCTTCCCAGTGTGAGCTTTCACACCTCCTGGTCTCACTGGAAAGCAGTGTAGATCTTGGTTGTTAACAGTATTCGTCTTTCTCAGCGTATAAGTACCCCTTCCCTCGGACCCCTCACCCCACCAGGTATTTCCAATTTTTGGAGAGGCTCACCTGATAGCTAGCTCTCTTTAACTTTTAGTAACTGGTTATTTTTGAAGTTTAATGTCACATATTGTTTAAAAGATTTATTTTAAACATGTTTCAAATGTCACATATTATTTAAAAAATTTTGTTATGTGGTAGTTGAACACCGTATATGTATGTGTGTTTTTTAATTCTCAAACTTAATGATGAGTTTTCTTTTGACTCTTATGTAATTATTTGCCTTAAGTTGGATTGGTTTGCTTTTGGACCGTTCCAAAACTTAAAACTTTATTTTCAGGGTTTAGTTCCATCTAGATGTTTGGACGTAGTCTCTTATTCATATTTTAACATGAACTGATGTATGGATAACAGTTTCTTTCATATCTTTTCCAATTTTCTTTTATTCACGGGTTATTTTCTCTTCTGTGGCCCCATAACAGGCGGGTAATTTATTTCTGTGTTAATACTAGTTACATTGTCATATGTTTATACTTATCTGCCTTTGCCAGACCCTTACCTTCAGATCATTTGTGTTGAACACTCTCCAAAGTAGGATTCACCTTGTTTTCTTATATACCATTGCATGGTGGCATAAACCCCACCAATACTGAAACTATGTTCTCTTCATCTTTGTCACTGTCACTGTCACTGTCCTCCCATTGTTCATCGATTTGCTCGAGCAGGCCCAGTGACATTGTGAGACTTGTTACTGTGTTTGGCATATCGAATACGTCACAGGTAGCTTGCCAGGCTTTGCCGTGTGGGCGAGATACTCTTGGTAGCTTGCTAGGCTCTCTGAGAGGGGAAGAGGAATCGAACTTGGGTTGGCCGTGTCATTTTTTAAATTTGTGTGTTTTCCGAAGTCCGGCAGTGCTCTATCTCTCCCACCGCCTGCATTCCGTAGCCTTGAGCCGTTTCCCCCACCCCGGGGAGGTCAGTGGCGATGGGCAGGCGAAGAAAGGAAACGAGGGCCACGCTGGTTGGTATCAATTGTGGTTTATTCCAATCTTCACTCCCCTTCTACTTCTCTCTCTCAAGCCTGAGCCCCTCTCACTTCTGACTCTGCCCTCTGGAGCCTGAGCTGGACCCAGAGTCTGAGCCTGAGCCTCAGGCTCCGCCTCCTCTCAGCCCTTACAGTCTTAGTTTATGTAGCAGTCACATAGGGTGGTGACACAAAGGTGGATTGAACATTAACAAATCAACAAAGAGAGGTAAGACCAGTCCTCAAGGAGATTAACTCAAGGATAAAATCTCATCTAAAGAGATTATTCCAAATTACTAGGAGATCTGCTCAAGGGTGGGATCCCTTTTCTCAAGGGTGTGTTCTTTCCTCAGCTAGTAATCTACTTAAAGAGTTGTAGTAAATCTACTTCCAGTATTTCTAGCAATGTCATTCTGTATGAGCACAGTAAGAGATATAAACTTATGGTTTGGTTCTTCCTGAGGACAGCTCACTATATATTCCACAGTCCTCAGGCCAGGTTAGTCTTCCTAACCCCAGAAGGGTCCTAGTCTCGTCGTTACTTACTTTTGGATCATGACAGCATTTGTCCATGATCATGTCCTCAACATAGTTTAGTATCCTGGCGCTTTGGCCTGGCCCATTTCCATGCCAGGGTAGCTCACAGCTTGCCCTGTGTTCATTCAGTTCCTCATCAGGACCCTGCTTTTGGGGTGCTAGGAACTAAGAGCAACTGAGTCAAGAAAGCAGATACCCAGGAGTTAATATTATTCGGAGTCAATCAACTCCCAAGCATAATGTTAACTGTCTTCCTGTGTCCATATAGAAAGGACTTTGCTTTAAGGTAAACTCTGCAAAAGGCATAATTTACAATACAAGTTCAGAGTTCTTAGAAGGATCTGATCCTACAAGCCAACAGAATCTGATTAGGGAGAAAAGGTGATTAGCCGATTGGGGAGGAGAGCACAGAGAAGAGTTTACAGATAAATACAGAGGAAAGGAAGTGACTTGGGAGCACTGTGTTGGGTATAACATGATAAACCTAAGCTCCTTGTGGCAAGGGAGAAAGGGCAAACCCATGTTATTCTACATAAATTTATTTTTATAAGGTTTTTCACAGTATTATATTTAATATTCCAACACCAACACCATCCCACCACCATTACACCTTCCCACCACCACATTTTGAATGTTTCCATCCCGATTTCCGAAGCCTACCCCCAAAGCGGGACCTGAAGAGTTTATTTTGTATTGCTTATTATGAACAATCTGCTAAAAATGCTCCAGAAGTTATCCTTAGAGGAAAGTGTGTGAAGATTGTTGTAGTTCACCCTGGAGCCATTAAACCCTTGTCCTGTACGTCCGTGATGTAGAGTATGATACAGCACTCAAGGAATTCTAAACTTTTAAATATGGTGATACATCTGAGGTGAGTTTGATATTTTTCTCAATGCATGTGACTTTGGGGTCTGGAGGCGTCTCTGTGGTGTG